CTTCTCTGTTATATTCTTAACTAGAAAATAACCCTCAGATATGATGGCTATGACCCAAACTTCTACGAAGTGTACATTGAAAATCCCAAAGGATGCTTCAATCTAAAACTTCAGTATGCTTTGTCAAAAAAATATGAACCGGTGTATGAACCTGTCTGGACCTGTAAACTCCAAAAAGGTCAGTAATTGAAATTAAACAGATCAAATTTGTATTTCCTAATGCACACTCAAAGGGTTAGATACTGTTATTTTTAATATACTATTGTCAGAAAACATTATATTCTTAAAGAATATGTTTTTAATATATTTTTACTTAAAGATGGAGATCATAGCTTTGATATATAGATATAGAGATAGATATATAGATAAATATATCTATCTATCTCTATCTCTATCTCTCTATCTCTCTATCTATCTCTATCTCTCTATCTATCTCTATCTCTCTATCTATCTCTATCTCTATCTATGTCTATCTATCTCTATGTCTATCTATCTCTATGTCTGTCTATCTCTGTCTATCTCTGTCTATGTCTATCTCTATCTATCTCTATCTCTCGCTATCTCTATCTCTATCTCTCTCTCTATATCTATCTATCTCTCTCTCTATATCTATCTATCTCTCTCTATATATCTATCTATCTCTCTCTCTATATCTATCTCTCTCTATATATATATCTATCTATCTATCTCTCTCTATCTCTATCTCTCTCTATATATATATATCTATCTATCTCTCTCTCTCTCTCTCTCTCTCTCTATCTCTAGAGATAGAGAGATAGAGATATATATATCTCCCAACCCACTGACCAAAGCTTTCAGGGTCCTTTTTATTTGGCTGGAGCCATTTAAATTTTGCTCACTTGTTGATTATTATTTCAAAGACATTGGAATATATCACATTTAACTATTAAATATAATACTTCAGATAGCACGTAGCTTTTTGTATAAAAATCTTTATGGTGACTGTAAAATAACATTTACTGTTTAGAGTTTTATTTGCTTTGTATTTTATTTCAGACGATCATCCAAAGTCTGGTTATGGGGAAGGTGAGATCCAAACAGCTTTTGCTGATCTATCAAGTAGAAAAGTGTTCAGTGTTGTGTTCTTGTTATTAATCTTTTGCATCTAGAAGAATGCATGTTGTGCAGTTTCACTTATAAACGCTTCATGTTAGAAACCCATCTGAAGTGATAAATGTAGACTTTCAGGCAATCAGTGATTCAAAGGTAGAAATGTTGTGAGGGAATAAGGTGGAGAAAGTTCAGGACAAATTCGAAAAAAGATTACATTTCAGACATTTTGGGGACAAAACGGTTAGATTATTTAGTGCCAGTGACTTATAACAAGTATAAAGTAATTTTAATATTTTCTGTACAGGTCCAAGATCCTCGAGGGGACTAACTGGTGTCACTACTGTTGGTAAGTTCACAAATATTAACTCTGCTCTCTTCTCAGTAAATGATTTTCACATTTCTGCACTAAAATTACTCAGCACCTCACTGCAAACACAACTAAGACTGTAAGACAAGTTTAAAACTAACTGAACTTTTAATCAAGAATGGAAACCGGGGAAAATAAACGAATACCAATATCCTAGAAGAAAAAAACAAACAGGGGGAGGGTGAAGGACTTTGAATGAGATGAGATGATGACTTAACAGAGACTGAGGGAGAACAGATTCAAGAACCATGACGGGGGGCAGGTGAACTCAGTTGAGCCAAAAAAACCACTGGTTTG